AAAGCTTCAAGGTCCCTTGAGATGAGATTCTGGACTAATTCAACACAGCTGAACTCGTAGGTCCCCTTGCACAACATGAAGGGCCACGTGCCTCTGGCAGGATGTCCAGACAAGATACCAGTCCCTCCTTGGAGATCCTCCCAGGCTGGGCTGGGAGTGTGGGCTGATGCCCAGGCTGGTCAGTGACTGCACCAGCAATGAAACCTTTCTGGTGGTGGGAGGTCACCTGCAGGTGGGTTGTGTGGGACTGAAGAGCCACCCAGTGGCAGTGTCCCACAGCCTCCCACTAGCCAGGAGTGGGTGCAGCAGATTGGTCTGGACAGTGGCCAGCAGTTGGCCAAATGTCTATTTGGTGGTCAGAGCAGGCTGTGACTGCAGTGGTATAACCTCTTATTGTGTATTGGTGGAGGATATTAAGTGGTTCCTGACCTCTGGTTCTGCATAATTGCCAGTCTTGCTACAGCCCATGGATTTATTTTTCAAACCACATCCTTTTTACTGTTGTAATCTTATTTTGAAGATTACACCAATTTTATTAGTAATTTAATAGGGTGCTTCTGTAGGCAAGTCATTGGTGATGTTTGGCATTAGAGAGAGCTCTTGAAGTTGAGTTTTTGAGTCAATGTGAGGTGCAGTGCTTGGCTTTGGCAACAGTATTTAAGTTTTAATATTTAGAAAGTGAGTCTTCTCAGGGGAAAAGTCTGGCTTAAGTAGCTGCAAACTTTGCAAAGCTGTTGCTGCTGCTCAGGCTGTAGAGAATTTATCACTGGCAGAAAATTAAAAGGCTTGTGAGAGACTTGCATGAAAATACAAACCTCTTCTGAACAAATCTGTACTCTGTCATTTACATTGTGCTACAATTTGCAGTTAAGATTGTACTAAGGTCTTTTGACATGCAGGAAAAAAAAAGGTTTTAAGAAGCATCAAAACCCAAAGAACTGTTCTCTATTCTGAGCTCCTCCAGTGTCTTATCCTTTGGCTCAGAGGAGATGTAGCAGAAAGGATGGGAAAGTGCCTCAGAACTGGTGGTGGCCTGCTCAAGCCTGAGACCTGCCTGCAGGACTGGCCAGAGCAAATCCCAAAGGCACTGCACACCCCTGCAATGTGCTGGCTTCTGCCCAGGGAAGTGTAGCACATCTGGCAACTGCTTTTCCAGTCAAAGAGCAGAAAGGGTTCCCACGTCATCTTTAGTTTCTCTCTCCCTTTACTAAAAAACCCCACCCAACACTAGACTCTCCAGGGCCCATGGTCTCAAGGGAATAACTTGTTCATTTTTTTTCCATGTATCCCTTCTCCACACCCACCTTTTTTGTCTTTTGAATTTAATAAAGTGGGTGACTCAGTACTAAATATAAAGCCTGCTTCCGGCATCATCTGCCTGTGGCTCATTTCCTGGAGCTGACATCAGTTGAAGCCTCCGATTTCCTTATGAAATAGCAAGACATGAAATATCCTTTGCACAGTGTTCTGGGCATATTTGTGGACTTCTCTGGTGACTGCATGGCTCCCTAATCTAAGCTGTGAATAACTAGCTGGTTAATTGTTAAGCTGAACGCTGGTGGAGCACAGGGTATAAATTGGGTAAGCCCTCAGATCTGTTTTGCACTGGAAAATCATACTGTAGTTTGCAGGCGTTTTTTAAATAAAGACTAACTTTCAGTCCCTCCTGCATATGCAAGGTTTTTATTAAATAAGCATGAGCCTGACTAATGTCTTGCTTTCTTCCAGATGACAGGCTCGCTGACAGAGCAGCTCAGGAAGCTTTTAGGGGGGAAATCTAGCAAAGATGGATCTGTTTTTTCTTTAAAAAGACTGATAAATTGAGGAGTTAAGGTCAAATGCTTGCTCCTCAGTTGTCACATCTTTGCACAGCTGTTTACATTGATGGAATGTATGCTGCCATTGGTTGCAACTGAGGGTGAAAGCAAGAAGTGCATAAACCCTCAATTTGTATCGAAAAGCACAGGGGAGAGTGCTTCTATCTGTCTGTGCATAATGTCATTAAAATCCTTATCTTTTAAAGAGAATGTGGACAGAACTGGAGGAGGGGAGCATCTGGTGCATAGTAAATGTCATTGATCCCAGTTCAAAATGGGATGGTGGCTGGGCACTCAGATTTGCTCTCTAAAGCCCTGGCTTGTAAAGCATGGTGGGTTTTTTCTAGTGAAGTAGACTATTTAGGTTAGCTGATTTCTATTTCAGCTCTTCATTCTTTAGTGCTTCTCCCCACTCTCTTTTTTTTTTCTTTTTTTTTTTTAAGGAGAGGGAATGCTCCTGAAAACGTTCAATGTGCAGCACCAGAGCAGGCAGAGGCAGGAAGCTGAGCCACCTTTGCTGCTCTTGGAGGCCCACTGAGGTCTGCTGATACTCTGTTAGCTCTGGGATCTCCTGAGGCTGCTGTGGCCCAGCCCCCTGGCCATAGAGATTGCTCTACCATTGAGATGCTGGAGGGGACCAACATGTCTTACACCCCCTTGGCTGGTTGACAGTAGAGCCGGCTGTACCCCAGCAAACAGCTATTTTAGGCAGAAGCTAGAAGTGCCCACAGGTAAAACCCATCCAAAAAATCACTAGGACTGATGTAGCATGCTCATCACCATGGGTTCATCAGCTATCTTGAACAGCTTCCAATATTAGCATGACATCTCTTGGCATTGCTAACTAGGTGTGGAAACTACTACTTCTGGAGTGGGCAGGAAAACCTGGTGTCCAGAAGCAGGTGGTTGTCCTCACCTGGGCAGTGGGACTCACTGCAGAGAGCAGTGGGCCTGCACAGCATAATGTAGCCAAAGGCCATCACATTGGATGAGCTCCCTCCCTCCCCCAGAACTTTGCCAGAGGGTCAGTTCTTGAGGGCTAGTGGTAAAAGGAGAGGGACAAGGTGATTCCTGGATTTACCCTCTCTTCTCTCTTGTCACCTGGAAGGCAGCAGCTGCTGCTCCCACAGCCATCATTGAGTAACTTCTGGAGGGCAAATATGTGTTAGTGGCCTCCCAGTGAAACTTGGCAGCTGGAACTGGGGAGGAGATGTGTCCCCTTGCGCAATGATGTGCTGAAGGAATCCTGTCGGTGCTGGAAGTTCTCCTTGTGCGTAAACCTACATGGCAATGTTCCTTCCATGCAGGGGAGCGGACATGTCACCTGAGCACCTCAGGCACCTTCTTCTTCCCTAAAAGGCTTCCTTGAAGAGGAAGGAAGAGGAAAATACAGTGGTATACTGGCTCTACCAAAAAAATTCCTATTTTGGAATACTGTGGGGAGTGGTGTGTGTGACCAGGCATGTTTGAGGAAGTGGGCTGGGAGTGCCCGGGGAACTGTGCGTTCGCTGCCTGCCATCGCCACACCCCGGCGTGGTGAGTCTCGGGGCATGACGCACAGATGAGTGGTGCTGGCACTGCCGAGGTGCTATTTTGGGTTTGAGCGTAATTGTAGGTTGGACCAACAGGACTGGATTTGGAGTATTCAGAGAGCTCTTAAAGCTCTGGAAAAACTGGCTATCGCTGATCCTTTGCAAATGTGGAAGATGGGTATTTCACGTGCACTGTGCGTGTGCATCGAACTTCTGGCGGTGGAGCCACTGAGGACCTGTGCTACCTGATGACAGTGGGTAGGAATGTCCTTTCCCTCTGAGAGGGAACAGTTATACCTGTTAGCCCTGTAGGCTGCTCTTTACGCTTATATGAGAAAAGAAAAGTGAGTAAGTGGAGTTCTGAAGACCCATGGGCTGGTGGCTTTCAGGCGTCTGCCTCTGCAGCGCGAATCCGTCACCTGCACATCTGCAGGTGCTGCTTTTCTATCCCAGCAACACAGATGCCAGAAGCAAGGAGAGGAAGCTTTTCTTTTCCCTCCCAAAAGCAGACATTGCTTGTGCAATGGCTCTGCCACTGATAAGAAGTCACAACCTAGCTTGGGAGCTGGGCTTTGGCATGCTCTCCCCAGGACCTGTCAAACCTCAAAGCCTCAGCACTTTCTAACCCTTACAGGATGAATTTACACTGTGCAATATGCTCACATGTAGAGTGGAAAGTGGAGGCACTAAACTTCATGAAATAAGTTTTTGTTGCATGTTTGCCCAGAGATTTCACAGGCTGGATTCAGTCACTGGTTTGGATCAGAGCAGCCGGTTGGGCTCCTTGCATCCAGGAGCTGATGTGATGCTGAAGCTGGTTGCTGATGCAAGTCAGAGCAGAGTCAAAGTCATTCTTCCCTAAACCCCATCTGATGTGCAGTCAGCCTGGCCTTCGTGGACTGCAGTAGTGTTTTTCAAGCCAACTTCTTTCCTTTTAAGTTGCAGCTGCAGTTCTGGGCATAAAAACTTCTATTTTGGTTTCCATGATGTTTGCCATCCTGAGGAAGCTGTCAGGCTGTGGGTTTGGGGTTAGGTTTTCTGTTTTGAGTTATTTCGGGGTGTGTTTTATACCTCTCTTGAAACTTTACAACTGGAAGCTAAATTTTCAGGTGATACCAAAGAAGTGGGACTGGGCGGTGACTCGCTTTCCTGGCTGAGGTAATTTAAAAAGAAACAACAAAAAAACCCCAGTGACACTATTGGCCAAGTATTTTTACCTTTTAGAACAGTCACGAGTTCTTCACATTCTTCACTAATTCAAATATTTTGTTTATTAGCAAATGACATCCTTTCCTTTTAGCTGAAACATTATGGACTTTAACAGGATCAGAAATTTCTGAAATATGTGATTACAGTTTGGAAAACTCACTTAACCTTTTTGATGACTGATTCTGTTCCTGTGCATTGCATTAGCAATGACACAGTACACAATGTTTCTGTTGCTTGTGTCTTCCTTGTTGGCAGCAGACGTCTGTCCATTTTCCATCTAGAGCAGACAGGGATTTATTGATGAGGTAATGCAATATTTTGTAGTATGGGCCAGCTCCAAACTCTGTATTTAACCACTTATTCAAACCAGCGTTGGGTTTTGTTTTGTTTGTTTGTTTTTGGTTTGGTTTGTGTTTGTTTTTTTTTTTAAGAAACTGTGGGGTGAAATAGCAGGCAGCATCCTCCTTTAGTACAGACTGAGGCCAAATAGGTCTGGATTCTCTCAGTGTTCTGTGAGCTTCTGGTTTTTTCAAAGACATCCATAAAATAAGTACATAAAGCAAAATACAGGTTCTGCATTGCTCTTGGGCTGGACATGCTGAGAAATAGCAAAGCAAAATGCATTTATTTTAAATAGTAAAGAGCAAAGAGAGGCACTTTTTTTTCCTTTTTAATTAAAAAAAAATAGTTTGCTTACCTAAAAGCTTTGTCTCTTACTGCCTTCTGTTTCCAAGTGCCGAGCAATAAAAGAACGAGCTGGTTGTTGGGGGAGAATCCCCGCTCCGTGCCCCGTGCTCATGGGATAATCGGGCCGTTCTAGCGCATCTCTGCGCGACATGACCGCATCCCTCCGCGGCTCTCGGGAAGCGACCTCCCATCGCTGGGCGGGGATGGTGGGAGGAATGTTGGCTGCCCAGCTCCGGGCTGGGGGCGTGGGAGACGCTTCAGCGCTCGGGCCGGGCAAGGGAGCGATTCGCCTTCCCTGATAGAGGAGGAGAGGTAAGGAATGGATGGGTGTCCCGGGCCGGGCTGGCGTTTAGGTGCTGCCTGGCTGTGCCGATGCAACGGCTGTCCTGCAACGACTTGATTTGCTTTTCTCAGCAAAACGTCTAGTGATTCCTCCTGCTGTAATATACAGAGGAAAATAGCTGTGGGCAGAACGAATTTCAGGTTTTAATGTGCTTAAATCTGGAATTTATCTGTGCACCTGACTGAGCGGGGTGTGCAAACAGCAGCAGCGAGGGTTTAATGTTCCAATCGAGGGCTGAGGGTGTGCCTTCCCAGAAATCTGTCTGGGACACAATCCTACTCCCTCTCAGTCTGTAGCAGGCTTTTACAAAGCAGAACTGCTTAAACTTGTATGTTAGAAGTGTTAGATATTTAAACATCTGCTTTGCAGAAAGTGTGAGGAGCTCTGAGTACTTTTGGGAAATGGCTATAGGCTGCTGGCTGTGACAGCTACTGAACTTTTTGGGGATATTTCATCTGGAGAAGCTGGGCTTTGCTATTCCAGTTGGAATGGCAGGAGGCATTATAGTCTGGCAGGATTTAGTTTCCAAACTGAGGAGTTTACCTTGCTTGCTGTGTTTTCTGGTCACAGCCAGCTATACTTGTTGCTGGAAGCCAGTGTAGACCCTCTCCAAATGCTTTATAGCAGTTGCTACTGGCTTAAAACACTTACATACCAGTACTTTTAAGTATTGAACTGAAATACTGAATTTTTTGTGCTGAAAAACTTAAGCTTAACATGTCTGCAAACCTGTAAAACACATCTAGTAAACCTTCTTCATGTCCTGATTTTGTTTATACTGAATGTGTTTCTCTGAGGTTTTGCTTAGTTATGTTTTATTAAACTGATACTACACTTGATCTTAGCCAAAAGGCCGAGAAGTGATATTTCACTCTTACTCTCATTTATTCTGCAAAGCATCTGTCTCTAAAGAATGATTTCCACAGCTGGAGGACTCTCACACCCTCCTGAAATTCAAAGTAGTGATGAGATTGCATGCTGTTTACAGTGCATAGTCTCTTTAACCACAATATCTGTCCTAGGGGTACGGGGCACTGGCTGAGCTGTGAAACTGAGGGAGGAGGAGGAGGCTAAGCAGCTTGAAGGGTCCTAAGGAGAAGTTAGTGCTCGGCTCTAGTAGTGCTGGATGCATCTTAGAAATCCTGCATAACCTTGAAACCTGCTAATTAGAGTGCATTTTGCAGAGGTTATTAATGCTTGTTCAAAATCCAAGAGTCACAAAGTAGAGCTTGCCTGATCCTGGACTAATGACTGCTCCCTATCGCTCCTCCCCATATTAAGTTAAATTATAGTGGAGTGTGGGGAACACCCTGCAGTAAGAGTAAATGTGATTTCCCTGTCATGGCAGCTTCCTGGGAGGCAAGGACAGCAGTTTTCCTTCTCTTCTAGCCATTGCACATTAATTTTTGAGATTAATGTTTTTGCTTTTATTAAGAGTAGATAGGATCTGTACTGTCTTCTCTGGAGTAAATAAGTGGTGAATTTATAGGGTTTTTTCTTACTTCTTAAAGCTGCTAGGAGAGCTATGCAGAGACACTAATTTATTGCAATCTAGTGTTGCTTTCTTCTTCTGAAACAAGTTATTTTGACTTCTTTCCCTTTTCCCCAAGTGCTTTCTAAACAAGATTACAGACAGCAGGGGAAGGATGGAAAAGAGTGGGTTTTTTATCAGTAGCTCTTTCTAGTAAGAGATAAGTTATTGAAATTCCTGGGGTTTAAGACACTTTTAAAACATAATTACAATGCTTAGGGTACGGTTTGTAGTTTCTAATCTTTTGTTTCTTTTTAAGAAAACATTTATTGACACATTTCTAAATGTTTATCATCTGGGCTGTAGTCTCTGCTGGGATTTCAACCCTGACTGTGCCATTGGCAGCTCTGTTTACCTTCAAACTGATAAAACAGTCTGCAAAACTGCTTGACCACAGCTGTACCTTCTGAAAGGTTGCACCAAACCCACCCTCACAAAATTAATTGCTGAAACTCCCTATTGTCCCGCTTGCCAGGGATCAGCACTATCATGCCGGGTGTTTGGCTTGCAGGAGCTTGTTTGCTGGCGTTGAATAAGCAGTGACTGTACTGTGATTTAATTTAGGGATCTGGTTGATTCCCCTACCTGGGCAGGAGGGAGGTTTGAGACTGAGTAATGCTTCTTGCTTTATCATGGCACACTGAATATCAGTCGCTTTACCCGCCAAGCAAAGGTGCCACCTGAGAGCAGAGCCTGGAGGTACTGGGTGGATGGAGGTGGGTCTGGGCTGTGTGGACTTTGAGGGGCTTTATCCACCTGCTGCGGACCAGGGCAAAGGCTGAGATCTGCAGCTCAGCCTTGTAAGGAACTGGGCTCCTTTGGGGCTCAGTATTGGGAAATCAAGAGACACATGCTTAAAGCACATTGAGGGTAACCTGCAGGTCTCAGCAAGCAGACCCAGTCACTTCTGGAGTAGAAAATTCACACTGATTCAGCCTTGTGATCCTCATCCCTCCTCACTTATGCTGGCAGGGAACCCACTGTCTTCCCCCCATTGCTCTGAGAGTCCCCTCATAAAATGAGGGATGCTGAGTTTTGCAATGGGTGGTGAGAGATGGGTCCTTTCTTGAAGATGTGTATGGTTAAGATACGCAGAAGGAAGTGTTTAATGCTGCTCATTATTTAGGGAACTATGCAAGAATAAGAATTGCTATCAGCATAAGAGTTTCCTGAGGTGCTAGCATGACTTTTCTGTGCCTGAGCCAGGAATTTAAATGAAGTCTTCTGAGTTTCAGTCCATTAGCTGACACCTGACCCTGACCCCTCTCTCTTTTACCTTCTTGCACTTAAGTTTAAACTATCCCTGAATGTTATTTGCTTTTGCAAGTTCCAGGCGTATGAGTGTACAGCTCTTCCTTTCTTGAGAAGTCTTGAAAGAATCGCCTGTTCCACATTGTACTAGCTAGGTAATGAGAATATTGCTATTCTGTTTCTACTGATATGAACAAACTATTGAAATTCAAAACTTAGTTAAACCAATCTGGTGCGTTATGATCTCAAATATTCTCTAATCCTGGAGTAGTTGCTTTGCTAAAACCACAAGTGTGCCAAAATGTAACATTTAGGAGGAGTATTTGTCAAAGAGGCTTTTAAGGACTGATTCATTGGTGCCTTGAGCAGTATTTTATCTGTTTCCACTGTGCCTTGCAGATTACAAGTACTCTCTAGATATATGTAATAGATTTGGAGCAACAAGGCAGTCTGTATGCTGTAGCTGCAAGTCTGCAGCATGATGGGTGTGTGTGAGTGTAGTTGGTCTCCTCTGTAAAAGTCAGCTCTGCCCCTGCTTTGACCCTCCACCCAATCCACTTGGCCTTGGACTTCCATGTCAGAAGCCTTCAAAGAGTGTAAGGTCTTCAGAAATCTTTCGGTGCTTCTCCCTTACATTTGAGTCCCAAACCAGTTTTATGTTTCTCTTGGTTCAGCCTCTTTCTAGTAGATGCTAGGACGTGAGAGTGACCAAGCATCCGTCTAGTCTACTCCAGGATAGCATCTCACTCCTCAGTGTGCATCAGAGACAGCTCTGGCTCATAGGGTGGGGATGTGTTGGAGGAGATTTCACTGAGGACTGGAGAAGCTTTTGTTCCTTCCATGGGCAACTGGAGTGCAAGCATTTGTGTTCCTCTGACTTGTGCTTCCCTTATAGTCTTTGGGCAGTTTGGTATCATGAGGCTGAGCATCCTCAGCTGCTTGCTCTCTGTTTCCTCTGTCTGTGACACAGAGAGGTTTGTGTACTTGAATCCCTACAAATTTCTGTTTCGTATCCCCAACTTTCAATATTCTGGATGCTGTTCTGGTCTTTTATCAAGAGGCTGATTCCTTTTTGATGCTGTGAGTGGATTTGATGCTGATTTTGGGTTTTCTCTGGATACTGGCTGCAACTTGGTTCTGGGTCAGGGTGCTGAACGTGCTGACCATTATCCAGGCCTGGTTGCACCCCAAAAAGCTTCTTTGACTGGGAAGTCAAAGGCATGTAAATTGGCTGATGGATCAGCAGTTGTTTTTACTAAGGATTTAAGATGGTTGAAGATGGGGAATCTGGTTCTGTCTTGAAGAGAAAACACTTCAACCAGCATGCAAAAGGGGAAGGATCAGGTTGTCCAGGCTGTCAATGAATGTTGGGGCAGCAATTAAAATCTAAGCAGAAGCCATAGGAATACTGGTTGGCTGCAGTTGTTGCCATACTGTTGGAGTAGCCCTGCCTCTGTACAGCCCAGATCCGTGCTGGGCATCTACTCAAGTGATGCTTAGAAAAATATCTGACATCGTTCTACACAGGTCTAGTGAGGAGACATTGACCTTCTAACCTGCACCTTCGAAGGAAGGTACCTGTTCAGAGATGGATACAATGGAGACGCCTCCAAATCCTGAGAGAAACTCTGTCAAGCTAAGTGCATGTGTCTCTGCTTCTGATGGATTTGGCAGATTTGTTCCCTGTAGCAGCAGTGAGTTGTGCAACAACTGGGGCAAAGCCTCACAGTCCACTCCCAGGCGAATGTAAACCTATCAGGGAGCCTGCCTCTCCCAGCATGACAGTTTTAGGAGTTTGAAAGAACACAGAGCAAAACCCTGCTTAACGGGATTTTTGTTGATTTAGAGGTGCCTCAAAAACAGCAGCTGGAGGTAATCTCTGTACGGGATTGGGCTGAAATGAGCTGTAAGGTGCCTGTGCAGTGGGAATCCCTATCTGCAGTCATGTGTCCTTTCCCTGTGATGCAACTGGTGGGCTACACAGCCAGCATGGGTCAGTCAAAGGGTGTATTGTGTGTAAAGTCAGAAGCTTGAGGGAGCTAGAGAACTAGGAGGTGCAAGGTAGTAAATTCAAATAGCCAGGAGAGGTTAAAGACATTCAGGATTAGAATAGAATTTGTGGATAGTTCGTCTTGACCTGCTGAGGTCAGTTTTTTGGTGCTTTGCATGGCTGAGAAAAGCTGGATTAAGAACGAAATAAAGCTGGGTTTTTTCAAGTGTTAGAGTGCAGTGGTGTTTGATAGTTAAAGCATTGCAGACCTTGAGAGCAGAGCTGTAGATTCATTACTGTTGAGCCTGATGTGCTTGAGGCTGGGAAAACTTCATTGAAGGGAAAAACAACAGGAGATGCAACAACTCAGCCAAATCTGGCACCACAAAGAAATACTTGCTCAAAGCTTTATGTGCCCCTTTCTTCCCGAGGCAGGGGAAACAGCTGAGTCCATAAGAACACCGCAGTGTTTGTGTTCATGCCAAGAGTGACACCAAGGTGATTTCTGGGGGACAGTATGGTGCAGTCTCTGTGGATGGGGTAGCATCTTCTAAATCAGTGCTCTTGTCAAGTTGACGCCTATCACCATGTGGAAACACAAAGTGTGGTTGAAGTCTGGTTTCAGTTATTGCCTCTGACCAGTGGCAATAATGAAACATAATTGCCTATTAGAAGTTTATGTGCTTCCAGCAGCCTGGTGTTTTCTAATAACCACACAAAGGGTGTGGGTGCTGTCATGTAGGAATTTGATGAGCCAAACACTGGAATGAGCATTTGATGAGCTCACAAACTGGTTATGAGCAGGAGAGGATGGATTACATGATAGGTTTTCATTTACAGGCCATCAATCCCTAAACTTCCCTGTCTCCTCCCAAAGCATTGGAAACTGTTTATCTCAGAGGATTCATCAGACCAGGTCTGTGCACCACAAGCTTTCATGTCCTCCTGTTGCTTTCAGGTTTTGAGATATTGTCTATAAAACCCCAAAGGCTTTGCTTGGACTGGACCAGAAAAAGGAGCTGGCAGAGCTGATGGGGTGAGGGTGTGTGTCTGTGCCCTCTCCTGCCTGTAAACATTTCCAAAGGCAGCATGA